GGGACCCGCTCGGGCACCGGGGGGCCTATTGCAACACCGGGGCTTCAGGAGACCTTGGCTCACTTCATACATACGTTTGGAAGCTTTGCCCAGGAAGGGTTGATTCTAGTCGCACCAGCTACCTCACAGGTCGGGGAGGAGCCCAAACTTCCGTCGCCCGTACACCAGAGCAGTTGGCTCATGCTTATCAGACACCGAACGTTATGCTGATGCAACCAGTAGTTGCAGTTCAGCTCGAGGTACGGCTAGTCATGTCTACTGAGGGGCAGAAGAGTTTGTAGAGATTTTAGAGACTTTTTTCTTCCTAATTCAGTGGAGGGGCTTCTAAGGATGCTCAGGGTTTCTTGGATTAGTGTCATCGTATTCTGCATTCTCTTGGTTTAGTGGAGTCAAGTGTTGTTGGCCTTACTACTTTTTAGTTGACGGGGCCGGCATACAGATGGTGACAGACTTATAATGCGAGCAGGCCAGCTAGCGCAACACCACTTACATAGTCCCAGTTTTCATATTATTTCTTGTGAGAGTTTATCTTACAGACCTGCAGGGACGAGTTGTGCAACAAGTTTGAGCGTTTGCGCTAGAAGGGTATGACTGTGAGTTAGTATGCTATGAGGTTTACAGAGTTATCCTGCCATGCAACTCCTTTGGTTTCTACTGAGAGGGAGAGAGTTCGTAGATTTGTTAAGGAACTTACCTACAACCTTAGATTTGGTATGGCGCGGGAGATGGAGACAGAGACTGCATTTCATCAGGTTGTGGAGATTGCTAATTAGAGAATATCCAAGTAGGAGATTAAGGATACGGAGGCTAAGAAGCGCCGTAGTTTTGGAGAATTTGGTTGCTCCTACTTCGGGGGCAAGGTCCTTTATGGTAGAGGTCAGTTAGTCAACCAGTTCAGTCTGCACTTCAAGGTTTATGTGGTGTTTCAGCTAGCCGTGGAATTTAGAGCACTCGTACCGCCATCCTTTAGTGCACCTTCTGCACTACAGTGGTTATTCCAGTCATCCAATAGAGACTCCATACCAGCAGCCACGCCCGTAGAGAGATTATTTTGCGTGTGGTGGTACTAGGCATATTGGGAGAGATTGTTCTAGACTTCGGATGAGTGAATCTCAGCAGGGTACTCAGGCTATGATTCCCGCTCCAAATGCTACTCCATACGCACATCCAGCAAGAGGTAGAGGAGATGCGCGTATAGGTCATCCTAGAGGGTGATAGTAGCCTATATTATGCGATGTAGATGCTATTTATGCTCTAAATTAACCATACCTTTATTAATGTTTTAAGTGCTTTAATTGAGGTTTTTATGATTTGCAATAGCTACTCCGAGTTAGGAGGAGGATATAGAGTGTTCTGGGGTCAAAAAATGAAGATACAAGGCCAATCGAGAAGATCCCAGATGAAAACGAGCAAGAAAAGGCGAAGAAAAACTGGGCAACAGTCCACCGCGACCGCGGTCGGGCCGCGACGGGAACGCGGTGGAAGAAAGCGGAAAACAGAATAGTCGTAAATCACTGCGGTTGTGCCGTGGTTGTCCCGCAACCGCGGTCGATCTGGAGAAAGCCAAGAAGTTTAAGGGCTAAAGTGTAAAGTGTGCGAAACTTATCTTAATCCTATATAAACTCAACAAACTCGCCCAAGTCAAAAAAAGCTTGTTTTAGACTCAATTGGAGGCAAGAACAAGTGTGATAAGATCAAGACACCATTAGAGTTTTTCATTCTTCTTCTTGTTATCATTATCTTGTGAGTCATGAATGATTTTATGGTTTTATCTTGCTTTACTATGAGTAGCTAAACATTTAACCTAGGGTTGATGGAACCAATTGTTAGATGAAGTTTTGACTCAGTTTTGTTATAATCGAGCCGGGTTTATTATATGATTGTTCAACTATGTTTTGTATGGTGATTAATTGAATGGGCCCTCGATTAATTGTGTCTAATTGCCTTGTGTTGCTTGAGAAAGAATACTAGGTTAGATTGTTGTTGAACAACACCACTTTTGGGTAATTGAAGAGATTCATTACATGAATTTAAAAGTGGGGTTAGAGATAACGAAACTTTGGTGGGATAATTCAGAGCTGCATAAATTAGTAGCTAGAGTAGTTCGAGAGAATGCTCTAATAAATTATCGTAGTTGATCGAGAAATAATTGTTGTAACCAATAGCTCATAATCATCATAGAGTATTACGGCGAGATTATAGCAAAAGAGTTAAGAATTAAACTAGCAATTGGGGAAATCAATACCCTAGATCATTTTACCATTGAATTATCTTTAATTTAGAATATTGTTAGTTTTAATATCATTTTACTTTAGTTAAACAAAACCCAATAGTTACTGATAAAAAAATCTTGCATCCGAAAATTATTTGAGCTTGTACTAGCATCACTAAGAGTTGTAATAGATAGGTTAGTTCCCTGAGGATTCGACTCCGGACTTGAAAACTGAATTATATTTGCAACGACCGCTTTGTCTTTTATAAGGCATAGTTGGGCGTGATCAGATGGGGAGACCAAGCCTGTTCTTATGTATTCCCTGGTAGGACTGAGGCAGTTACATCAGATGCAGTCATTTCAGGTATTATTCCGGCCTGTCACACAGATGCTTCCGTTTTATTTGACCGAGTTATACTTATTCGTATGTGCCATCATACTTTGTTTTATATTTGGATATGTCATGTGATTCTCTAGATACTTCTATTTATGTGTCTACACCGGTTGGGGATTTTATTATGGTGGACCATCCCTATCGTTCTTGTTTGGTCACTACTGGGGACTATGAGACTATGCTTAATCTTCTGTTGCTTAATATGATGGATTTTGATGTGATTTTGGGTATGAATTAGTTTTCTCTATGCCATACTATTCTTAATTGTCACGCTAAGACCGTGATGTTGGCTATGCCAGGGTTGCCAAGGTTGGAATGGAGAGGGTCTTTGAGGCATATTCCTAGTAGAGTGGTTTCCTTTTTGAATGCTCAATAGATGGTTGAGATGAGGTGTTTGGCTTAATAAGCCTTTGTGAGAGATGTCGATGCTGATACTCCCACGGTTGATTCATCCCGCATGGTGAGGAAGTTTACAGAGTGTTCCTTGCAGATCTACCGGGCATGCGGCCTGATAGGAATATTGATTGTGGCATTGATTTAGAATCGGGCACTCAACCTATTTTTATTCCACCGTATCGTATGGCTCCTGCTGAGTTGAAGGAATTGAAGGAACAATTACAAGAGTTTCTTGATAAGGGTTTCATCAGGCCAAGTATTTCATATTGGGGTGCGTCAGTGTTGTTTGTTGAGAAGAAGGACGGATCTATGAGAATGTGTATTGACTATCAACAGCTGAACAAGGTGACCATCAATTATCCACTGCCGTGCAATGATGATTTGTTCAATCAACTTCAGAGTGTCAGGGTGTTCTCGAAGATTGACTTGAGGTGAGGGTACCATTAGTTGAAGATCAGGGCTTCAAACATCCCTAAGTCTGCTTTCTGGACTCGTTGTGGGCATTATGAGTTTTTGGTGATGTTTTTTGGATGGACTAATTTCCCAGTATGTTTCATGCACTTGATGAACAGTGTGTTCCAGCCTTATTTGGATTCATTTGTTATTGTGTTCATTGATGATATATTGGTGTATTACCATAGTAGGTAGGAGCATGAGCAACATTTGAGGATCGTGCTCCAAACTTCAAGGGAGAAGAAGATATATGATAAGATCTCCAAGTGCGAGTTTTGGTTAGATTCGGTGGTGGCATTCTTGGGCCATGTAGTGTCCAATGAGGGGATAAAGGTGGATTCGAAGAAGATTGAGGCAATTTAGAATTGGCCCAGACCTTTTATCGCTACAGAGAATCGAAGTTTCCTAGGGTTGGTTGGGTATTACGCCGACTTATGGATGGGTTTCATCCATTGTAGCCCCATTGACTAAGTTGACTCATAAGGGAGCCCCATTCAGGTGGTCTGACGAGTATGAGTAGAGTTTTCATAAGCTCAAGACTGCCTTGACTACAACTCCAATTCTGGTTTAGCCTTCGGGATCAGATTCATATACAATTTATAGTGATGCTTCACAGATTGGCATTGGGTTTATGTGTATATAGGATGGTAGGGTGATTGCCTATTCTTCGCGTCAGTTGAAGCCCCATGACGAGAACTATCCGGTGCATGATTTGGAGTTAGCAACTATTGTGCACGCATTTAAGATTTGGAGGCAATATTTATATGGTGTGTGTTGTGATGTATATACAAATCATCGGAGTGTCTATCATCTGTTTAAATAGAAATATTTGAATTTAAGGTAGTGGAGGTAGTTAGAGCTGTTGAAGGATTATAATATCACCATTATTTATCATCCGGGGAAAGCCAATGCAGTACTAGACGCCTTAAGCAGAAAGACGAAGAGCCTGCGGAGTTTAGCATTTATTGCATCTAGGGAGAGGCCTTTGGCTATGGATGTTCATACTTTGGCCAATAGGTTTGTGATATTGGATATTTTGGATCCTTGTAGAGTCGTTGCTTGTGTTGTATCTTAGTCATTTTTGTTTGAGCGCATTAAGGCTCACTAGTATGATGATCCACATTTACTTGTCCTTAAGGATACGATGCAGTGAGGTGGTGCTAAGGACGTGACTATTGGCGATACCGGATTTGTGTTCCTAATGTGGATGGGTTGAGGGAGTTGATCCTTAAAGAGGCTCATGGTTCGTGGTATTCTATTCATCCAGGTGATACTAAGACATACCATGATTTGAAGCAGTATTATTAGTGGCGGAGGATGAAAAAAGACATTGCTGGATATGTTGCTTGGTGTTTGAATTGTCAGAAAGTCAAGTATGAGCATTAGAGACCTGGTGATTTGCTTCAAAAGATTGACATACCGGAGTGGAAGTGGGAGCATATCATTATGGATTTTGTGGTAGGATTGCCACGGACATTGAGGAGATTTGACATAGGTTGGGATATTATGGACAGATTAACCAAGTCTGCACATTTTATTCCAGTCATGACTTATCATACTTCGGAGCAGTTGGCTAAGATCTACGTCAGGGAGATTGTTCGCTTGTATGGTGACCCTATTTCTATCATCTCGCGTCTCGGCCCTCAGTTTACTTCGTATTTCTGGAGAACGGTTTCGTGTGCGTTAGGCACACAGGTTGATTTGAGCACCACATTTCACCCTCAGGTGGATGGGCAATCCAAACGAACTATTCAGATATTGGATGATATGTTGAGGGCATGCACTATTGATTTTGGAGGCTAGTGGGACCGGTTTCTACCCCTAGTGGATTTTTCTTGCAACAACAGCTACCAGTAGAGTATCCAGATGGCTCTGTATACGGGAGGCATCGTTTTTCTCCGATGGGTTGGTTTGAGCCCGTTATGGTAAGGTTATTAGGCACAGACTTGGTCCATGATGCTTTGGAGAAGGTAAAGTTGATTCAGGAGAGGCTTTGCACAACTCAGTCCAGGCAGAAGAGTTATGCTGATAGGAAGGTCGTGATGTAGCGTTTATGACGGGTGAGAAAGTTCTACTTAGAGTTTCACCCATGAACGGTATGAAGAGATTCTGGAAGAAGGGCAAGTTTAGCCCTCGGTATATTGGTCCTTTCAAGGTGTTGGAGAGAGTTAGTAAGATGGCCTACCAACTTGCTTTGCCACCCAGCTTATCAGTAGTCCCTCCGTTGTTTCACGTTTTCATGATTTGGAAGTACTATGAGGATCTGCCGCACGTGTTGGATTTCATCTTAGTACATTTGGATGAGAAACTACCTTATGAGGAGGAACTGGTGGCCATTTTGGATAGGCAGTTTTGGAAGCTGAGGTCGAAGAATATTTCATCAATGAAGGTTCAGTGGAGGGGTCAATCGGTCGAGGAGGCAACTTGGCATACTGAGCATGATATGTAGAGCAGATATCCTCACCTTTTATTGTATCCCAAGTATGATTCTAAATTCATTCGAGGATGAATGTTTGTTTAAAAGAGGAAGAATATAACGTTCCGGTCGGTATTTTTATGTATTTGAGCCTCATTTCATTACTTGATGTTTCCCGTGTACTTAATTATTATTTTTTAACTTAGGGGGGTGGTTGGTTTGGTTTTAGAAAAATTTTAGGGTGATTTGGAACACTTAGTTCTTATGTTGGAAGCTTAAGTTGTAAGAGTTGACCAAAGTTTGAGTCGTGTGTACACGACCCCAGATTAGTGATTTGATGGTTCCAATAGGTTTGTACAATGATTTTGGACTTAGACGTATATCTGAATTTGGATTTAGAGGTTTGTAAGGCGATTTGCTCTTTTTTACCGAAAGTTGAAAATTTGAATGTTCAGAAATTTCATAAGTTTGACCATGGGTTGATTTTGTGGCTATCATATTCGAATTTTTGGTCTGGGACTTGAAATAGGTCCGTTTTGTCACATAAAACTTGTGGCAAAGTTTGATCTCATTCCGCGTTAGTTTGGTCGAAACCAGACACTTGGTTGTGAATATTGAAGTTCTTAAGTTTTAAAATTTACAGGATATGTTTTGGTGTTCGATTCATGATTCATGACCGCGTGAGTCCTGGGTTGACTTTTGTTGAGATTTTGGCAATTGGATAAAGATTGGGATTTTATTATTTGGAACTTATTTCTTTAGCATTGTTTGATGTTATTGAGTCATTTTTTGCTAGATTCTAGCCAGACGGAGGTAATTTTTAAAGGAAAGGCATTTTTGGATTATTGATTTGGCTCATTTGAGGTAAGTATCTTGCCTAGCCTTGTATGGGAAAATACCTCTTAGGTTTTGCATAATTATGCTATGTGAAAAACGATGTGTACGCAATGTGACGAGCTTGAATATGGGTGTTACGTGTTATTATGATCGGATTAGACCTAAGGTTATTAATATGCCTTAATTTGATGATGTGCTTTATATGAAACATGCTTAATCACTTTGTGATTACATGAACATGATCGCTGCAATTGATTTAGCCATAGTCATGCTTTATTTGAACACCCATCCGCATTGTATTATAGTCATACCTTGCGCACCTTGGTGAAAAATTATGAGCTTATATCTTTGATAAAAAATTGGCATATTGCTTCATGATAATTGTGGCTTATGTGGACATATTGGGAGGATTGATTGGGTGTGAGCATGAGGTTTTTGCCGTGTGATTGTGATTATTGTTAGGCACATGGGGCGAAATAAGGGTGGCATTTTCTCGGGTTATTCACGTGGCGAAATAAGAGTGGTGATATTCGCATATGGCAAAATAAGGATGACATTAATTGTTATTGAACATGCAGCGAAATAAGGGCAGCATTATTGATGATATTATGATTATTTGGGGTGATTCTCTTGATGATATTCATGTGACGAAACGGGGATGGTATTTTTGATCATATACATGTTTTCTTAAACTCCGTCATGTATTTTAATGAGTTGCTAGTTGAATTTGGCATGCTATCAATGGTGGAGAAATTTGATCACGCCCAACTCTCGTCCTAAAAAGGATAAGCGGTCGCTGCAAATATAATCTGGTCTAAGAGTCTAGAGTCGAATTCCCCAGAGAACTAAGGTTTAGCAACAAGTGTTCACTATCACCAAGAAGACAAGCTTGAAAAATTCCTAAGTTATAAATATTAAGATTCTTATGTCTAACTAATTAACTAACAAATTAAAATAGCAAATTAACAATTAAAGATACTAAGGGTTGGAGACGAGATTAAGGAGGTCTAGAGTTATGATTTCCCCAATTGTCATAATCCTTCCTGTTACCCCTCCTATAATTTCGCCTGATTAGTCTCTACTGACCGTGATCACTTTAGGTTTCGTAATTCTTTCCCGAACAACTACAACAGTTTACTAGATATATTCTCCCGAACTACGCTGGCTGGCACAATATTACCACTCAGTATGACCACGTCAAGGCTTTGTTATTCCTAAACCCACTGTTAAACCTGTCGTATTGATTTCGCATATACGTTATGAGTGAAGTTGTTCAACAACTACCTAAATATGTACCCTTTCTCAAGAAATACATAATAAATAGGCACAGTCAATTGATGGTCATTCAATCAACAGAAATAAGCACGTAGTTGAACAAGTAAATAAATTCAAAGGATAAATTATATTCAAACTTAACAAGAATTCATTATGCGAAAGGTTCCATCAAAACCCTAAATAATAAATTAGCTACTCATAGTAGTATGTGAAAATACAATACTAAAATTCATAACCAACAACAGAAAACAGAAAGAAGAAAGAAAAAACTCGTGTTTGAATCTTCCTCCTTGCTCCTAGTGTATTCTTGCCTCCAAAGGTATTCTGTAACCCTAAAGTAGCGTCTCCTCCTCCAAAGTTATGTAAAAAATATATTTATAGTGTATTTATATGACCTAGGTAGGGTGGAGGTTCGTCCAATACAATAATCGGATAGGAGAACTGGAGGGCGCGTCAACTTTCGTGCAGCGCGCGACCACATATGAGCTTCCAGCTCTTTTAGTTTTGTTCCGCGAAGCGATTTGCGCCTTTGCCGTACTTCACTGTTTTGCATCGCTGCTGTCTCATTTGGCGCGTCTGCCCTCGCGCGACGCACGAGCATAGACGAGCTCTCAATTTTTCTCACTTACTTCTGTTTTGCGATAATTCTTCTTCTTTTACTCTACTTTCATTTGAACTTATTCCTACACATAAAAACACGTAATTAGCATATTTCACTTTAAAACCATGTAATTCTCGCACTCACACAAGAAATAGAATATGATTACATTTTTCATCATTTATCACTATCATATGCCTCCGCTTCTATTTAATGATTTGTTGTCAAAGATGGATTCTTCTATGTTGAGTTGTTATCAATGTTCTAACGAGATTAATGATATTGATTTCTGTTACATATTTTGTTACCAGTTATGATATATTGCACAAGTTTCTTTGACTAGTGAGTATCATATGACTTGAACCTCGTCATTGCTTCACCAAATTTAGTCTTGATACTTACTGGTACCGAATGTCGTGTACTCATACAACACTTATGCACATTTTTATGCTAATCTAGGTGTTGGAGGCAGAGGACCTAGAGAGTGAGTGCTTACACTAGTCGTGAGGATTCAAGGTAGAGAGAGTTGCATGATCATCGCAGTCCTTTGGAGTCCCATCCTTATATTGATACTGTTATTTTCATATCCGAACAATATTGTATTTTGAGACATCCTTCCATGTTCAGTTAGAGTTCATGACTCTGTACTCCCTAGTTCTGGAAAGTTGTATTGGGTATTGTTGTTTTAGCTTGTGTTAACTCTATAACTGCTTTTATATTAAATTCTGTTTTATTATATCACGTCTTATTGATTTAATCTTATTATGTGATTGGCTTACCTAGCCTTGGAAGTTAGGTGCCGTCATGATCCCTATGATGAAATTTGGGTCGTGAGAGTAGATCAACTGGAAACAGTACCTATCCTTTCCATAGATGATTTGGTTTTATAAAACTAACTACAAATAGCAGCTACACATGCATTTCACTCCCAAACTCCCTTTTTAAAATCCAAAATCACAAAGATTTTTAAGAAAAAACAAAAGAAGAATTTACAAATAAACCAATGTCACAGTTCAAAAAACTAAAAATATTAATGTCATAGTTAACAATTTAAAACCTAAACTTGGAATAAAAAACAAACTCCAGTTCCCGCCAACAAAGCTCAAATGTAGTTGAATTTGAAACAATAATCACCCTCGCCATATAATATCTTATTGTACACAACCAAATATAAATAGCAACGACACATGTACTTCACTTCAAAAGAAAAATCATTCTTCATAAGAGATAATCACAACTTAAGAAAAGAAAAAGAGAAATAAAATATATACCCAAAATATCGAAGTACGAACAAATACACAGTGCTAAAGGTCAATATAGACGAGAGAGTTAATCGTGACCTCGGCCTCTCGCAGCCCTGACTGGTGGCGTTAGTGGATGTCCGTCCTGCCCGATAGCACGTGTCCTCACCATCTGTGAGAGAATAGAATAATAGAAGTTTAGTTGTCAGTATCAACAGATTCGCACGATAAGAATTCAAGAATGTGAAGTTTCCTACGGGTTTTGCAGCCTCTTGAAGATAAATACAGACGTCTCCGTACCGATCTGCAAGACTAAACATGCTCATGACTCGTGAGACCTATGTAACCTAGGCTCTGATACCAACTTGTCACGACCCAAGAAAAACACAACCAATTGTGCTTCGATCATCAATTTCTCCCGCACAATCACTATCACAAAATCTCATAAGGTTAAAATCACTAAAGGAATAATAAAATAGCCTAAAGTCAATTGTACCTTTTAGGTAACGAAGAATTCTTATAGCGACCTTTAAGTGACTGGAACTAGGAGCTTCCATGAAGCGACTTACTACTCCAACCACAAAGAGTATATCTGGCCTAGTACAAGTCAAGTACCTTAAGCTTCCCACAAGACTCTTGAAAAATATGGGATCCACTTTTTCTTCTTCATCAAACTTTGACAATTTATTTCACTCTCCATTGGTGTATTCACGGGATTGCAATCGAACTTGTTGAACTTATTCAAGATCTCCTTTGTATAGCTTTCTTGAGAGATAAAAATGCCTTCTTGCATTTGCTTCACTTTAGGCCCTAGTAATATGACATGGGCACTACGTCTGTCATCTCGAACTCAAAGGACATATCTTTCTTGAAAGCTTTAAATAAACTTGGGTTATTACCCATAAAAACAAGATCATCAACATAAAGACAACCCAGCAAGATATCTTCATTAGTATGAATTTTAAGGTAAAGTGCATATTCATGAAGACAACGAATAAACCCATTGTCTTAAAAATCTTTGTCGATGGACGTCATTCACCTTCAATATGGCTGCCTTCGCACCCATTTTTCTTTGAAGACGT